AATTTTAATTATTCTTTGCCAGATAAAATTTATTCCTACAGTTTTACTATGACTTCTTTGAGCAAAATACATATCTCAAGTTCAGAAGCATCCATGACCTGACTCCATCAACTCCCTGTAACAGTGATTTATACCCTATATCCTCTATGTTTCCTAAAATACAGACTCGATCAAACATGCTATATTACTGTTGAAGCACCTAGATCTCCCTCAGCCAAATTAATTTATTCCAATTTAATAATGTCTCAAAACTGTACTCATTCTCTCTATTTTTAATATACTTCTTTGATTTTTTAGAGAGAGAGGAAAGAAGATGGGGAGAGAGATAGAAACATCGATGAGAGAGAAACATCGGTTAGGATTTCCTCTTGCATGCAACACTGGGGATGGAGCTTGCATCCCAGGCATTTGTCCTGACTGTTAAATTGAACTAGTGATCTCTCCGTGCATGAGACACATTTAATCCACTGAGCAACACCAGCCGCGCTGTACTCATTCTCTTAAGCTCCAACTAGAATAACAGCTTCTGATAGACCAGCTCCCCTTCTTATAATCAGCAAAAGTGCCCATTCCTCCAATCCAGGTATAACAGATTATGCACATTTAAGTCCAAATGCTATATCGATAGCTAAATTTTCTTTCTTTCTTTCTTTCTTTCTTTCTTTCTTTCTTTCTTTCTTTCTTTCTTTCTTTCTTTCTTTCTTTCTTTCTTTCTTTCTCTCTCTCTCTCTCTCTCTCCTTCCTCTCCTTCCTTTCTTCTTCTTCCTTCTTCTTTCCTTCCTTCTCCTTCCTTCCTTCCTTCCTTCCTTCCTTCCTTCCTTCCTTCCTTCCTTCCTTTCTTCCTTCTTTCTTTCTTCTTTCTTTCTTATCATTTTTTAATCCTCACCTGAGAATATTTTTCTGTTTATCTTCAGACAGAGTGGAAAGGAGACAGAGGGAGAGAAAGGGAGAGAGAGTGAAACATTGATGTGAGAGGGACACATCAATTGGTTGCCTCCCTCACAACTCCTACCAGGGCCGGAGATGAACTGAAATTGAGGTACATGCTCTTGGCCGAAATTGAACCAGCAACTCATTGGTCTGCGGGCCGATGCTCTACCAGCCAGACCAGCCATAGCAATAGCTAAATTTTATTTAAAAATTCTCAGCAGGTTAGTATGTGGACATTGGATATGTACTGGTAGAAACACAAGTACTCAGACAAATCTGGTTTTAAATAGTATCTTTGCAATGAACAAATAATATGGATTTTGCAAGTTACTTAATCTATTGGTGCCTCAATGTCTTCATCCAAAATATGGAGTGAAAGCTATCTCATGATATTTTTGTTCAGGTCATACAAGGTAAGTCCATGAAGGCCACAATGTATGGCATAAAGTTAGTACTAAATAAGAAAAAAGAATAAAGCTCTTCTAGTTATTATACTTGAATAGAGGTACCAATAGTTATTAGATAAATAAGTCTCCATGACGTATTATAATACTTTTATAACAGACTTATTTATTCATTTAAATATATTTTTATTGATTTTTTTTTTTTTTTAGAGAGAAAGGAAAGGAGAGAGAGATAGAAACATTGATGTGAGAGAGAAACATTGATCAGCTGCCTCCTGCGTGCCCCTACTGGGGATCCAGCTCGCAACCCAGGTATGTGCCCCAAACAGGAACCAAAACAGACTTCTTAGTGCATGAGACAATGCTCAATCCACTGACCACACCAGCCAGGACTTTCATACAATTTTACCCAAAATTTTTGCTTATTGCAGACATCCAGATTCCTTCTTTTGAATGTTTCTTTACAGAGTGAGGCTTATTCTTCTTGTATACAAGATGATGGTTTTAAGTTAATGATTTATTGTTCCCAAATCAAGTGGCCCTGAGAGCTGAGAAATTTGACTGCAAGATGAAGCCACTGTCATGGACTTGTTAATTTGACATTTTTCTCCATTGCAGCATAAGAGCCCAACAACTGCTCAGTTAGCAAGCAATTGTGGCCTTTGTGAAACCCCTGTGTATCTCTGGTGCTCCTACAGCATTTCCCCACGACGGAGATCTTCAGGACCCACCGAGTGCTAGAGACCTAATTGTGTCCTCAGTAAACTGGGCACTGAGCCAGAATGTCATTCTCTTCTAGTGATTGTCTTCATAGTTATTAGACATTTGCATTTCCTGGACACAATTCCTTCATCAGATGTGAATTGCTCCCTTGTTCAAGTGCCCCCCAGCATTTCTGGGGACAGGTATGAGGCAGAAATCATCTTCTAATTATGCTGAATTCTTAGAATTAAAACTCATTGTTGATTTTTTTTCAAACCACAATATGCCATTGAATACAGTGTATAAATAGCCACAGAAACAGACAGACCACCATCCACTTAGCTCTTCGTTCTCGTCGGTCCTCCACTTTGGAAAAAAGGTAAGAATTTCAGATATAAATTGATGCATCTCCCTTTTTTGCTTTGTTTCAAACTCTATTGTGATATATCAAGAAAACAATTGTTTAAATATAGTCTTTGAAACAAAATTATTTAAAGTAAGGCTGACTTTATTTTTGAAACTTGTGGTAACATAGTAAAGTGTCTATAAAGAGTTGGTAAAAATTAAAATGACTATGTAAGCTTTATGAGTTCAAGAAAATGTACTAACAGTGATAACTATCTTGTTAGTATAAAGCTTGTTTACAGACCATATTAAAAGATTTATTTTCTGGCACTGGCTGGGTAGCTCAGTTGGTTAGAGCATTTTCCCAATATGCCAAAATTGCAAGTTTGAACCCTGGTCAAGGCACATACAAGAATCGGTTAATAAATGTAACAACAAATCAATGTCTCTCTTTCTCACTCTTAAATCAATAAATAAAAATTTAAAAACAAAAACAAAAACTTTGAGAATATTCTGAATTAAATATCTTTCAATTTTATTAAACATACCACAGTCATTAAAGCAAATATATTTAAATCATTAAAAGGGAATATAAATAATGATTAGGAAAGCTTTATTCAACAAGTAGTTCTAGAGGTGGCATAATGAGTCAAGATACAAATTATGGAAGGTCTTTGGGAACACATACTACTTGAAATGTTCATGAGTAATTTTCTAAAAAGAGGGTATTCATTGAACTTGTTTACAAAATGCAACAGCCCATTTTATTGTTCAAGTCATCAGATTTCAAAAATATATTAAAATGGACACTGAAATACAGAATTCAGTTAAAAAACAGTTTTACTTTGTAAGAAAATTCTAGAAGAAATAAAAATGACATGAAAACAAAAACAAAAGAGATTTGAAAGCAAAAATACCTTACAATATATTAGTCAGTAATAAAATTCTGGTTTCAAAAACGGTATATAAAATACTAATTATAAAATTTGGAAAATGTAATGAGATTTTTCCTAACCATAATAATCTTTAATACAGTATACTATTTATTTGGAAACCTGACAATATAAGAAATTATTTGGAGACATGTGGAGGTCTTAAGCAAAGTAAAATTAATAATGCTATTTGTGAGAACATGGATGGATATTGGAAATATTATGCTAGGTCAAATAAGTTAGACAGACAAATTCAAGAACTATGTAATTTCACTCATATGTGGGATAGAAAACTGAAAGCAACACCTAAACAAGCAAGACAAAAAAACTCATAGACACAGACAATAGTATAGTGATTATCACAGGAAAAAGGGGGTAGGAGAGGTAGTAAACAGTAAAGGCAGCCAAATATGTCACATGGTCATTGAAGGAGATTTGACATTGACTGGTAAATATACAGTGCAATACACAGATGATGCGTTATAGAATTGTACGCTTGAAACATATAATTTTCTTAAGCAATGTCACCCCAATAAGTTTAATTAAAAATAATTATATAGCAACCATGAAAAATATATAGGAAACATTTTGATCAATAAAGAGAAATATTTCAGTCTTAAAACATTGGAAATAATCTTTTCTGATGAATTAGACACCTTTTTCATGAAATATTTATAGTTAAGAAATTTAGTTTATAAATATGAGATTGAAGATTATATGCCAAGGTATATTGGTAGCACAAACATTTTTTTTTTTTTTTACTAGAAATTATAGAGATAAAACAAAATCAAGCATTTGGTACATTTTTCTTAAAAATGTTAACAATTTTTTTATGTTATGCTACAAGAAGGAGTAGTCTGTAGTGGGGACTGGGTGAGAGAAACCAATCCTTTTGTAAATTAACAAGAAATGCTAGAAAAAATAAGAGACATAGCTTATGATCTCTAAAGTTATATGTCACAAAGGAGAAGAGATCATTAGGTGTGTGGGAATGAAGAGCATGTAGTGGGTACTTACAGAGAGAAAACCAAACTCATCGGTCTAAGAAAACATCTGGATAAGCAGAGCAAAAAAATAAAATGCTCAAATAAAAATCTCAGTCTTCCTAGAAATAAGGACAAATGATTAAAACAAATATTTATGAAAACTGTTTATTTCACAAAAGTAAACGTGAAAATAAAATATGATCTTCTATGTGTAGATTTTTTAAATTACTCTATTCTGAATAGATCTGATGATTCATCAGGGCCAAGACCTTGATGTTCTGTTCACTGCTTTCAACCCAGACCCTAGAGAGCATCGGGCTGTTAGGGTGCTAAGTAAATTACTCATTTTAAATAAATGAATCAATTAATAAAGCTTTATGCAGACAATTAAAACTTCTTTCTGTCTTTCGAAAAAACACATTTTATTATAAATAAAATGAAAAAGAGTGAGGTAGGTTGCAGCTAATAGCGGAAAAATTCTGAATGGCTGGCATTGAAGTGTATAATTGATATGTAAGACTAGGTTGCCATAGTAGATTGTATCATCAGTTTATGAAAAAATTTCTATTCGTATTTTTTCTATAATGCAGATATTTTAATTTTAAATTATTTTATTTTATTTTTTAAATGTAATGCCATCTAAATAAGAAAATATATTAGATTGACAACGATAATACCATTTTCTCGTTTCCTATTCACAGGACTTGGGAACCATGAAGGTCCTCATCCTTGCCTGTCTGGTGGCTCTTGCTCTTGCAGGGGAGGTAAGAAAATCTCTGAAATATTAACATATAGTGAAATATCATCCCATGTATAGAGAACAATATCAGAAACATTTTAATAAATTTTTTTAAATTATTGAATTTTTAGAGAGAGAAAGAGATAGAAACATCAATATGAGAGAGAAACATGGATCTGTTACCTCCTGCACACCCCCTACTGGGGATCTAGCCGCACCTTGGGCTTGTGCTCTGACCAGAATTGAACCAGGACTTCTCAGTCCAGGGAACAACATCAGTCCTCTGAGCCACACTGGCCAGACATATCAGAAACATTTAAAATGCACAAATAAAGCAGAAATTTCAAGATATTTTTTATTTACTGCTAAGAAAATCATTGACATTGACCCATTATTTCAACAGAGCCCTGAAGAGCCACAAATCTGGGTTCAATGCTTTCTATTGCACTTTGCAACCAGTTGCTAAAGAAAAAGCAAACCGATAAACAACAAATAAAACAAGAAGAAACAAATATAAAAACTACAAAAAAAGAGTAATGGTGCACCAATACAACTGCATGCATGTGCAACCTAGATAAATATATCTTATTCTAGTCATGAAACTTATGTACCTCTTATCCTAGGGCAATGGGCCAAATTCTACCCGAGTCTATCCAAAGACATCCAGAGGATGGAGCATCGGGCAATAATCATAACCATGAACATATTTGTAACATAAAAAGTGCTTGATACAAACTGAAATAACTCCCTTTCTGTTATCCACAAAAATTGTTCTGCATTTAGGTAAAATAAAAACATACCATTCATGTATAACAAATATACAAGACATGAAACACAAGACTCTCAAAAGACATACAACATTATTTGTTTCTTAAATTTGTGAAGGAGATAGCTCTGCGTAAGAAGGTAAAAGTAGTAGGAAAAATGAATTAGCTATGGAAACTAAATAATGATTGTTGTTTTTTCTTTTTCTTTACAGAAGGAACAACTCAGCATAACCAGTGTGGTAAGACATTTTATTCAGAGAAATTTTCCTAACCATAAATAATACCATTCTGCCACGGCTGGTGTGGTTCAGTTGGTTGGAGTGTCTTCCCATACACCACAAGGTTGTGGATTTGATTCCTTGTGAGAGCATGTGCCTAGGTCGTGGGTTCAATCCCTGGTCCCAGTGGACAGGAGACAGCTGATCAATGTTTTTCTCCCACATTGATGTTTCAAAAACCTTAAAAAAATTATAAGATTCTTTGACGATTCAGATGTTGATTTTGCTTTTTCCTTTACAGACTGTAGAAGACATTGAGGGCAGTGAGGTAAGACAATGTTCATTCTGAGGCAATTATCCATTTTGGAACAGTGCATGCTGGATACCTTTTATACTGTGTCACTTTAGGGCATTTAAGTCTATGCAGCTAGTTCTGAGATATAAATTCAGATGTAAATTTACATTGTATTTGTTTAAGGCAAAAATAAATGTCTACAGAATCCACTCTTCAAGCACTTTCCATGCTGGCTTGCTACCTGAAATTGTGTCACTCTGCTCCAATTCTCTTCCTTAAGTGAACTGTACAGTCTTTCCTCTGTCTTGAGGTCTCCGCGCTGACGTCATTCTCTGCTGTGACATTTATTGAGCACCTCTGTGGATCAGACTTTGACTAGGAGATGTGGTACAATCTGAAGAGCAGATGCCCATAGGAAAGAATGGCAACATCGTGGGTGGGCAGACATGCAAATGGACACATGTGGTTATTCCAATGGTCACTTTAGTAAATAAGAGGCACAGAGGCTCAGTTTTAGTCTTAAATCTGCCTGGGAGGGTCAGATAGATATTTACACGTGCACCACTTTGGGGGTCTGTCATTAACTGCTAAATGGTACCTGGATACACTTTATTTCTTCACAAAAGTTATCAGATCCTTAGGGAAAGTATTTACTTCTTACAATTAATATGAAGCCTGAACATAACAAATGAACTAAGAATAATTAACAGATTATGTTAATAGTAATGAATGCTATTCTTTTAGAATCAGATGGTGTCTAGGAGATCATTTGTTGTCATAGGAAAAGAACAAAGTGAGAGGGGAAATTTAGCTTCTATCAAATGCCTCTTTTTGTACCATGTTCACTAATTTTCTTTCCTTCCTTGACTGCATCGTCTTTATTATAGAAGAGGCTTTAGCACGACAGCCCAGCATATGAGTTTCAGTAATTATCCTGAGTTTTTAATGATATGAAAAGCAAGGTGTCCACATTACCTTTTAAATGCCTTTATTTTCTGATTCACAGGAAATAAAAATTTTTTGTGAAAACAATATAATTTTTACTTTTATTTTTCTGAAGGAATCTATTATGCACATCAACAAAGTAAAATTATTTATTTTTATTAAGTTTATTGAGGTGACATTGGTTCATAAGCTCATAGAAGTTTCATATGTACATTTCTCTGATACATGATCTGTATATTGCATGTGCTCCCACCACCCAAAGTCAAATCACCTTCTGTCACCATGTATTTGGCCCCCTTTGTCCTTTACTATCCTCCAACCTCTGGTACCCAACATACGATTGTGTGTCTGTGAGTTCAGTTTTATATCTCACATAAGTGAAGTAAAACCCTTATATTTAAATTTACGCATTTTCAAAATTTGCTATATTTAATTTTTACAGATTTTGTCATGTTTTCACCATGTTATTTTTTTTTAGCAGAAACCCGAGACATTTGAAAATAACAAACAGCAGCAAAAAGAGGTAATCTGTGCATAAAGATTATATTTCTAAAATTATTATAAAATATAATACATACAAAATATGTACATATTCAGTGTAAAGAATTGTAATAGAATAATGCCAGTATAAGAAATAAAACTCTGTTAATAGCTTTTTAAAATAAAAGTATATTTTAAAGGTCAAAATCAACTTGCACCATCCAGACTAAATACTTAAGAAGAATTATAGATTTTCTCACCTAGTAAACGTATACCTGTTTTCCACAAATGCACACTTGTTGTACATTTCCTAGTTGACAACAGGTTCTTTTATTCCCAAGATAGATATGCTGATGAAAGAAATAGGAAGGTAGTTTGGCACAAATCCTAATTTGATCACTGATTAGCTCTATAACCTTGGGCCCAAGTTTCTCTGTATTTTATTTTCATTTGTAAACTGAGAATATTCATAATCCCCTAGGGTTGATGAGCTGACACACAGTAAATATTCAGTGATTTACCTTAAAATTGTATGTGTTTCATATTAACATTTATGAGTAATGCAGTTCATAAAAGAATTTCTACTGCACAGATGAGGGGAGGGAGGTACATAACAATAGAGCACACAACCGTGGGACAATGTCATACTATTACTGAGCAGCAGAGATGCTTAAAAACAAAGATTTTCTAAGGCAACGAAGAATTCTTTAATTAAATTACACATGTGGGAACATATTTAATTGTAATATTACAACTTCTCTTTCTTTTTTTTACTAATGGCTGGGTTTGTTTACAACTTACAACAAATATTTTGCTACATCAAAATTAATTTACAAAATGATGTTGAATAACTCCTTCAATCAAGCCACAGATTAACATTTACTTTTCGCCTGGCTGGTGTGGCTCATTGGACTGAATGTTGTCCGGTGGACTGAACAGTCCTGGTTCACCACCCGGTTGGGTCACATGCCCGGGATACAGACTTGATCCCTGCCAGGGGGTGTGCAGGAGGCAGCCAATAGATCTCTCTCACATCGATGTTTTTATCTTTATCTCCCTTCCTTTGTCTCTAAAATACTACTACTACTAATAATAATAATAATAATATTTACTTTTCATCAAAACACACAAGTAAACCTTACAAAAATTTCTCTAAGTTTTTTTAAAATTAATCTTCATTATATGAAAACAATTTGGTCTACTATTATCACATTATGTTGAAAAGTTCATGCACTCTGAATACCAAACTGCACAGCTACCCACAGCTATTGAAGGCAACTCACAGCAGAAGAAACAAGCCTGAAATCCCCAATTATTGATTTCAGTGTGATCTGGGTCCAGCTATGAAGGGAGTGGGTTAATGAGACATCCTGCAAGAGTACTTAACTTGTCTTCACATGACTCCAATATAAATTCGTAACCAGCACAAGAAAAAAATTTTCTTTCTCTCTTTCTCTCAGGATTCTTCAATAGGGAGGAGGATAATTCATCATGAATAATAATTATAGCTGAATCATAGACTCAAAGATTCTTTTTCTGTTTTTCCAGGATGAGCGCCAGGCCCAAATCCAGCCCATTGTCCAGCCGCAGCCTCTTCGCCCTCGTTACCCTGAGCCCATCTCTTACCCTGTTCTTTCACAAAACATCCTGCCTCTTGCTCAGCCTGCTATGGTGCTGCCTGTCCTTCAGCCTGAAGTGATGGGAGTCCCCAGTACTAAGGAGACCATCTTTCCTAAGCACAAAGTGATGCCACTTCTTAAGTCTCCTGTAGTGCCAATTGTTCAGCGCCAAATCCCAAATCTCACTGATCTAAGAAATGCACAGCTTCCTTTGCCTGTGCTCCAGGCCCTGATGTCTCAGGTCCCCCAGACTCTTGTTCAGACTCCCACGCTTCCTACTCAGTCCCTGTTCTCCCTTTCTCACCCCAATGCTCTGCCTTTTTCCCAAAAAGTGATGACCCAACTCCAGAGAGCTATGCCCGTCCAGACTCTTCTGCTGTATCAAGAGCCTCTGCTTGACCCTACCAGGGAGTTCTACCCTGTGACTCAGCCTGCTGGCCCAGGTCACAATTTCCAACAAGTAAGTCCCTATTTACTAACTCTGCTCTTTCATTCATGATGTGGATATGATAGAAGAAGTGAGAGATTCACAATAAAAGAATAAATGAATATTGAATGGATATCCAAATGTACATAGTTTACATCAGTGATTCTCAACACTAGTTACACAATAAAATAACCTAGAAAAGTTGTTTTCCCCCAAAATCTCAACATCTAGGACTACTCATAGAGATTTAGTTATAATTGTTCGGATTTTCTTTGTAGAAGATACTGAGTATTTGGAAGAAATTATTTCAGAGATTTTGATTTAATTGATCTGTTGAGAATATAGATAAAGAAAATTAAAATTTACTAAAGATAGAATTAAATTTGGTAATCTGACTGTAGAATAGAGAAGTTTTATTATCTCAATTTTTGAAATTTTCCTTGTGCACATCTATTCTCTACATGCTTTAATGCACATCTTGTTTTTGATATATGTACATGTGATAGCATACAAATGAGATTCTTATTTCATCAAGTTTAATTTTAATTTATTTTTTCATCACCTTTTATTCCCCTTAGCTTTGTCTACTTCTACCCACTCACCTGACCATTGAACTTTTAGAAGTATTATTGCCAAACAATGAATTATAGTTTTTTTGGTTTTGTTTTGTTTTTTAAGGTTTAAGAGGATTTCAAAGTGCATGTTTGCCCCTCACTTTTGGTAAGCTTTGGGAGTTTGAAGATTATATATATATTTTTTTCTATTTATGATTATCTTCAGATAGAGTGGAGGGAGAGATAGAAAGATAGATAGATACATAGAGGGAGAGAGAGAAATTGATGTGAGAGAGACACTTGGATTGGCTGCCTCCCACATGACCCCAACCAGGGCTGGGGGTGAACCCCAACCCAGGTAGGTGCCCTTGACCGGAATTAAACCCGTGAGTCATTGGTCCACAGGCTGACGCTCTAACTACTGAGCCAAACCAGCCAGGGTAGTAGTTTGGAGATTAGGTTGATTATTTTTATAGTTAATACAAAATTATTTATTAATTATCAATGTATCATGAATATCAAAATACTTCATTATTATGTATTTACCTGAAATATGATACTAGTATTTTATTAATTTTAATTGTGTTATTGACAGATTTGATTTTTTTTTTTAAGTACCCATGCCTTATGCTGGATTATCATAATATTTAGAAAAAAAAACTACAAATACTTTCATTCACTTTTATGTAAATATGTTTGAGCATTTTAAAAATATTAACTTGCAATCTCATTTCTACCTTAGACCCCCCCAAAATTTAATAGTTTTATCACATTTAAAATTTACATAATGTCTTTTAATTCATGGCTCAAAATAAAGTTAATTAATCCCAGGGTAAGGATTAAAAAAGGAACAGAATATAGCTGAGATGCTTAAGATACAAATGTTTTAGTGAGTAGGTAGACTAGATAGCTCATTAAAATAATTCCAATTTAAATGTTATTTGGTCTTTGGAAAATTTTATGTGCAGATGGGGCACAACATAGTGCATTTGTAATAAAATTTCTCTAAATTAATAGTCACACCAAGATTACAAATGGAGATAAACATGTGGTTATACATTAAAAGAACTAATTCTGTATTTGTTTTTTATTCCATAGAACTGACTGCGACGGGAAATGTGGCATATTTTCAATATTTGTATCGTGATATCAGGAAAAGTAACAATTTAAAAATGATTCTACATGGAAAAAATGTATTTCTTTATTTATTTTAAGTATTATATAACATTCATCTTGATTTTAATTTGACTCAAAACTTCTATTTTTGAAATTTTTATTTAAAATATACCACAAATTATAATTTTGAATTGGAAATATCATAACCATATCAAAAATATGTAAAAAAGTAGTTTCTGGAATTGTGCTTATTATTATTTTCCTAAACAGTCATTTCAATAAATTAATATTTTATGCATATTAAGTTTTCCTGACTTTATTAAATCTTTCAAACATAATTTTCCTCTTTAATATTAACTTTAGATGATTACTATTGTTGAAAATAGCCATGAAATATTGAAAGTAAATGGAATGCTTTGATTTGAATATTAGAAGATATCAAAAAGTGGAGGAAAAAGATATTCATATTCTGTGTTTGTTCTAGAGAGTCTTTGTTTACACCCATAGTCCCCATTAACCCATTATACCAAGGCCTTTCATCCTCAGAAGTAACTAGCATCAGATATAAAATTTTATGGTCACCCCCCTCCAAAGAAATGTTTAAATGTGAAATTTGATTCACAGCTCTGCAACATAGCAGCTGAATCATACTTTGAAAGTTACTTGAAATTTTTTGAGCCTGAATTTCCACATCTATGTAACAGCCAACTCAAAGGGTTTTACTGAGGTTTGAATGTGATTAGTCCACTGCACAGGACATTACATGATAAGAGTTTCCTGCTGCACCATACTAAGGACTTGACTTGTATCAGAGTGACAAGAGCCAGCACCAAAATCAGAGCAAGCTGTGTTATAGGGATTTAGCGAGAATTTCTCAAGACCCTAAAACTTACAGGATCGCTGATATTAATTATTTCATTTATCGAGTAATTGTTTCTTTGTGAGGAATTATCCCTCTACCAATCCTGCAGTGTACACTCAAGTCCATTCACTTGAGTTCACACAGTGATTCATCTCTAGTAATTATTCCATCTTTTCTGCACCCTCAAAGTTTTCATCACCTTCAGGATCAAGAGCAAACTGAACTTATTATATCATATCTTTCATCTTAAATGAAACAAAAATTCCATCATTAAGAGTGCACCTCCAAACTTCTCCCAGTACTTTAGGTTACCCTTTGGCAATTAGCATAGAAGTATTCATACTGCCCTTTCAATGATCTCAAATGTTATTCTCTCTTCAGCCTGGTCCCATCAAGCTTTTGTTCCTACTGAAACCACTTATTTTCCCAAGGTCACCAATAACTTTCATCTTGATAAACTTTGTTCATATTACCCATCCTCTCAGAGCTATTTGGTAGTGAATCATCATTTCCTTTTTGAAATATCATATTTCTCTTCATTTGAAATCCTAAAACTGTTAAGACTTTGGTTTCTCTCTTTACTCACTAGCCACTTCTTTGTAGTCTCCCTTCTGATATTTCCTTTTCCAAACCAGTTAGGGTTGGAGTACCCTAGGAGTTAGCCTTCCTCTGGCTGATATGGATTTGTTTTATGGCCTTCATCCATCCATAGTCTGAGAGCATCTAAATGTATTTCTTCACACTTACTCATCTCCAAACTCATATGTTCACTTGCCTTCTTGGCCACCACACCCAAGATCTAAGTAATATTAAACTTGGCATGGTCAAGCATAACCCTTCTTCTGGATTCAGTATCTAACTTGCTTAAATTTAATTGCCCTATTTCAGTAAGAAAGACAACTGATACAGTAGTATGTAGGAAAAAAAAAACTGTATGGAAACTTCGCAAAAAGAGAATACCTTAATTGGCTTGTAAACATATGAAAAGGAATTCAGCATCTTGGTCCTCAGGAAAATGCAAATTTAAGCTGCCATACAATATCATGCCAAATTATCAGAATAACAAAATAAAAAAGAAAATTGCTATGCCAAGTGTTTTCAAAAAGCAACAAGAATGCTAAGCAATGCTGATGAAAACGTAAAACAGCACAAGCACCTTGGAAACCAGTGTCAGCCTTTGTACAAGGTAAACATTTTCATATTTCATGACAAGTGGTTCCACTCAAGTATATAGCAAAGAGAAATAATATATATGTGCACTAAATATATGTACCCCACGTTCTTAGGAGTATTGTTCTTAAGACCTTAAACTAAAATCAACATTAATGTAAATCAACAATATTTTGTATAAATAAATTGTAATATACAATGGAATGGAATATTATACGGCTACACAAATGCAAATAAACAACTACCACACATGCCATTGTGGATGAATTTTATATAAATATTATTGAGTGGCAGTAACCATATACAAAACATAACAGAGTTCATAAACTTATAAATGCGCTCTATTGAAATCTACGAAAATTAATTTCTGGTGAAATAAATTAGTGGTTATCTGAGGGGAATAGATCTTGATAAGGAACATGAGAGGTGTTTTCAGGAGCTTGTGATATTCTTCTATGAACCTAGATGAATAGCTTGAAACAATTCATTTTGATATGTGAGTTTTGCTATATGCATGCTTGCTACTGTAGAAATTTAAATGCATAGTATATTTAAAATCACATTCTTTTTCTTCAATGTCTTGCCCACCTGCTTCTTCTTCCCTGTGTGTGGACCTCACCAATGCAGAATCACCGGTTTGCTTTTAGACTTGAATACAATTCAGTCATAAGGTATAGGACCTGGTTTCTTCAGAGCTGTGCAGCAACTGGATAATGCTGTTGTGAAATGCATAGTTTTAGCCTCATTGGGGTGAAATTTGAAAAATAAGAAGCTGGTTATGATAGAGAACTTGCAGGTTAATTCCTGTGTCCTTTTCCTCTCTGTATATTATTCAGAGGTGGGTTTTTTCTGTTCCGCCTGTGTTATTTTCATAATCACCACCTTAGGTTGTTGATCGCTGAAAGAATTCACAGGACTCAAACAGTTTACACTGATGGAACACAATAGGTTTTTATTTTATTTTTACAGACAACGAACACACAAGAATGTGCATTAAAAGAGGTGCCTAGATCTCAGGAGCAAACTTATTTGTGCTCCCACTGTTTGGTAGCACAGGCTATACCTTCTCTCTAGGTCTTAATCCATGAATGGAGGGCATGCATATGTTACTATATGAGCAATCTTAATGATTTAAAACCAACCCCATTTAATGAGGTGGTAATATATATTACAGTTGGTATTTTAATTGATGTTTCAGATAAATTCCTAATACTTGCATTATAGCTAGTCATCTGATGAATGTAGTTTTCTCCATTCTGACTCTAAAACTAAAGAAAAAGAAGAAAATAATGCCAGAAAAGTTTTGGGTCTATCTTACAAAACAGAGATTT